CAAGGTCCTACTGTATAACACAGGTAACTATATTCAGTACCCCATGATAAACCATAATGGAAAAGAATATGAAAAAAAAGAATGTATATATTTGTGTAACAATCGCTTTGCTGTACAGCAGAAACTAACACAACTATGTAAATCAACCATACTTCAATATAAAAAAAAAAATGAGTAAAGGAAACAGGGGAGGGGACGGCCAAGATCCCCACCAGGATAATAGCAAAGGCTCAAAACACTCCCAGTTATTGAGCTGAGCAGTGCCATGACTTCTCCCGCTCTCGGAAACACAGAAAGTGGCTTATTAGAAATCAGGCAGCAGGCACACAGCCTCTGAAAGGTCCACAAGGGAGAGAGAGGGGAAAACATCACTCTATCATGTCTCCCCTGGATCCTTGGTTTTATAGTTCGGGATTTATGTCCTCACTTATTCTGTGTCTGGTCCCCTAAAGGACGTAAGACAATCGCGATTCTGTATGAGAACCATGCACGGGATTTTTTGAGGGAAAAAAAAAAAAAAATTCAGACTTTCTAACTAATTCAGATGAAGGTGGTTATAAGGGGAAAGAAAAAAACTGGAGAAATGAGGCACAGTAATAGCAAGGAAATTTTTACTCTCTGCCTTTTATATGTTTGGTTTAAAGCCTGAAAATGTGGTATTTATTCAAAAAATAAAAGTTTGAATGTATATCATTAAACACTCTCAGATGACTTTGAAAGCAAGCCTTTTCCCCGCCTAAGCTACCATCTCAGGAAAATACAAGCAAGCATTTCATCGTCAGGATGAACAATTCCTTCAGTCTTTCGAACGTCAAACCTCTTTAAGCATATTTTCTGGAGCTGAGCATTTTCGTCTGATTCCTTCTCCCTGTGGGCATTAAAATCCTAAATTAAGAACCCAAGGATTAACCAAAGAAATTAGAGACCCTCTTCGTGAGTGGGGGATTCCCGACAATCACAAAGCTTAAAATCTTTTTAATTATCTCTGTTAATTGACGGGATAATAAGCATCGATTCTACATACATGTGTGTTGGCCACATCACAGAAATTACCCGGCATGTTTTATTCACGCAGGGGCCGCAGGCTGCTCCAGTGACCAGTAGAAGCAGTTTCTCCCTCCCAAGCAAGCGTCAGAAAGGTCTGCAAAATGACAGTCACCAGTGGAAAATGAAAGGCTCTCGCTTTTTCTCCCATTACATTGTAAGATAATTAAAGCCCAGACCAATAAAACATCGAGCATTCTTATTCAGAAATCCGATTTTCACTACATCAGGGCAGGTAGTTAGATGCTTTAAGCCATCTGCTGGCAACCTCACCAGCCCGGCCCATAGCAAAGCCACGTTTTTGTTTTTGTTTTGTTTTTTTCATGTGGTTTTGCCAACAATGACCAACCAAAGAGAGGAGAAGAGTCTGACAAGGGAGCCCCTTGCATTGTTGACGAGCTTGGGGCCCCAGTGCCTGCTGGCTTGTGGATAACAAATGCAAAATAACTTTTTGATTAAAAACAGACAGACGAAAAAGGTATCGCGTAAAATATGTAACATGTGAGGGTCAAATTCTGCTACGTACTAACTGTATTTTCAGAAAGCCTGAATCTCTACCCTTCTGTGGGAGTGTGCTGGCCGTCACCATAGGGGTTTAATAGCAGGGTCCCATTATAAAGACAGGATCATCCCAGTGCCGACCATTAGGGCATCACAACAGCACAGGCATATAGAAATAGGTTAACAAAATGTAGATACCAAAGTTATTAGAGAGGCTAAATAAATAAATAAGGACCCAGCTACACAGTATGTGGAGGCAACTGGGACACTGACCGGGATGCATGGAGTTCCATAAAGGCGGTTACCGTTATTGGCAAAGAAGCATCGTGAGTGAGGGTATATAAACTGTAGGTATCAGGTCCGAAAACAGGCTCTTGGGCAAGTTACTTAAGCTCTCTGAGCTTGTTCGTTATTACACTGCAAGTATTTAAATAAGCTAATGTTTCTAAAGTTACACAGGGACTTCCATTTCTGGGAAGATGGAGTAGACGTATTTTCCCTAATCCTCCTAGTAAGTACAACTAAAAACCCTGGCCATTATACGTAAAACAAACACAAGTGTAAAAGGTGGAGGAGAGAAGACAGACTTAAGGGACTCCAGGATTCAAACCACAAGGCACTGGATTCCCTGGGGTTTCTTTTTGCAACATATATCCCAGGCTGCCCCGCGGCATGTGGGATCCTCCCGGGCCGAGGCACGAACCCACGTCCCCTGCATCGGCAGGCGGACTGTCAACCACTGCACCACCAGGGAAGCCCCAAACATTTTTTTAATGTTTTTTCCAGATGCTTTGACACTGTGTGTAAATAGTCTAAATGTTCCATGATATTGTGAAATTCAGGTATAGGGGAAAATGATATATTATCACCCGAACTGTCTGTAGATACTGCTATGCCTTTTTTTTTTTTTTTTTTGGTTGCATTGGGTCTTCGTTGCTCCGCGCAGGCTTTCTCTAGTTGCGGCGAGCGGTGGCTACTCTTCGTTATGGTGCACGGGCTTCTCATTGTGGTGGCTTCTCTTGTTGCAGAGCACGGGCTCTAGGCATGCAGGCTTCAGTAGTTGTGACACGCAGGTTCAGTAGTTGTGGCTCACGGGCTCTAGAGCACGGGCTCAGTAGTTGTGGTGCACGGGCTCAGTAGTTGTGGCGCACGGGCTTAGTTGCTCCGCGGCATGTGGGATCTTCCCGGACCAGGGCTCGGACCCGTGTCCCCTGCCTTGGCAGGCAGATTCTTAACCACTGCGCCACCAGGGAAGCCCTGCTACGCCTTTTTGATCCTAAGTTTGATTCAGTCTTGAGGAGAAGGTTATGAATAAACCTGATTACCAGTATTTTGCTTCCATCAGCACCATCGTCATCACCACCATCATCATGCTTCTCGCCCATTTGTTTACCCCACCCTCCTACTCCAGCCTCTGCCCCAAGAGGTTGATTTCTCAGACTCCACCTCCCAGGCCTCCTTCCTGCTGGTTCCCTGATTGGTTTGGTCAACGGGAGGCACAGGCTGGAGATCAGAGCCTGGGGTATCTCTTCCCCACTCCCTCCCTGATTTGCCTCATTTGTAGCCGCGGCTGTCTCCCTTCATCCACGACTTCTGTCAAGTGGCCCCTGCTCCAAGAATCCTGCCCTCTCTGGGCTCCATCATCTGATTTCCTCTCCTTGCTCCTTCAGGACATGAGTGATAAGTCTTCCATCGCTTCTAGTCTCTGGGTGCCTCGACATCCATGTTTATTTTCCTAACCGTGACCGCTGAGTGATCCCTTCATGGGTGTCTCTGATGCCATCCGAGTTAGAGTCTGTGTCCTGCCAGGATCCTGATGACACGTCACCTCTACTGTCATCTCCGTGTCTATTATTGATTGCTCCCTGTGTATCAGACACTGTGCTTTCCATGAGAAATGTATTTCCATGAGGAAAGTATTATTTTATAAATGAGAAAGTAGACTTAGCCATTTTAAAGATCTTATCCCAGGTAACACAGATAGTAAATGGCAGAGTCAGAATTCAAACTACTCCAGAGCCTCTTTTTAACCACTGCCAACAGTTCTGCAATATAGTCCATGTCAGAATCATCTGGCGTGTTTCTTACAAATCCAGATTCTCAGAAACCTACTCAGAGCTCTCCACTGAGGAAACCAGCTGTTGGATTTAACGTGGGCAGTGAAGCTGGCTTAGCGTCATCACCTGCTCCGAGGGAGCTGATTGCATAGGTTAACTGACAACCGACGGGGCAGGCTGGCATTAAAACTCTGACCAGTACGGGCAACAGTAATTAGTGAGATCAATCAGACTCTCTCTCCCTCCCGTATTTAAATGAAAAATGCTAAGGAAATTAGTCGGGAGGTAGAGGGAGGACAGAAAAGAAAACCATAAAGAGAAGCAGGCCATTAATGAGCAAGTGGAGTGGCCATATGCTGGAGCAGTGACCAGTGATGCAGTAATGACAGCAGTGTCCCTGGAGCCAAGCGGAAGCCAGAACAATGACTATGCCTGGCTTCTCTTGAGATCTATCTCCTCTCACCCATCAACTCATCAGCGATGTAAGTAATCGCTGGTCATGTCTTCCCTGACCCAGACTCATTTGACTGAGCTGACATCCCCCAGCTTTTACAGAGCAAGCTCTAAGCAAACACAAGAGAAATAGCCTTCCTACTGGTCTTGCTGAATTTACGCTGTTCGTTTCTCTAAACCATTATTCACACTGAAAACTGAGTGACGTCTCCAGACTGTAATCTAAGTTTATCGGCCTCCTTGCCTAAAACTCACAAATGGTTTCCTATTCTCTTGACATAAAGTGAAAATTCCCTACCGTGGCCTCCCAGGTCCTGCGTCGTCTAGTCACCGTGCCTCCTCTTCATCCTCACCTGGAGCCTCCCTCCCCCTCAGCCTCTCTGGTCCAGCTACCCTGGCCTTCTTTCAGTCCCTCCCAATCACCACACTCCCTCCTGCCACTGGGTTTACCACAGGCTGTTCCATCTGCCTACAATGTGGATCCCTTGCCCTTTCACCTGCTTCATTCCTTCCTACTCGGCATCAAACATCACCTCCCCAGGGATGTCTCCCTCACCTCCCTGACTGACACCAACCTCATAGCATCCCCCTTGCACGGTATTGTCACAGGGGTGACTTCTTTTGCGATTACGTGATTAATATCAGTCTTGACCACTAAGCTCTCTGGGATCAAAGTCCATGGCTGAGTTTTCTCACTGTTGTGTCCCCAGTACCTTGTACGGTGTCTGGCCCACAGCAGACACTCAAATATTTTTTTTTTTTTTTTTGACACTCAAATATTTGTTGACTATGGCATGACTGGTTTAATGTCTGCCTGCAAATAACACTAGGGAAAGGCTCTTCTGCAAGGGCCACTGTATAGTTGCTATGGAACAAATGACAGTAGTAACAGTGGGCAAGTAACTGCCGCTTAGGAAGGGCCAACACACAACAGGAGAGCAGAGTATGTGTGGCTGTATGCACAGTACCCAGGACCAAGCACTCCACTTGGAAGGGGAGCCCAATCCTTCTGCAGCCGCAACATCTACTTTAGCACCTAGGACAATGCCCAGAAGGTCAGTGGCGCTTGGCTCTCCTTTATCGAGTTTCATTTAAGCTTGCAGGTCTATTTCCAGAGTTCATGGCTACAACTTGGTAGCCAAAATGGTGCCAGTTTGGTGCCTGTTACCCACCTCAATCCCGCTTTCAACTGAGTTGGAAAATTAAAGAGAACAAATTTGCAGCTTTGATTGCAAACTGAAAAAGTGATACAATTAACACAAATGTCTTTGATTGCCTCTTGAAAAACATTTGTAAATCAAAATTGGTAATGCTTTTAAGGGTATGACATATTCTTTCAAATTATCCATGAGAGAGGGAAGTGGTTTCGGATCATGCAAATGTGTAAATTTATGCCTAATAAATGAAAAATATTCTTCCTTACATAATTCCCTTTAGGGGACCTGCTTTAGTTCAAAAAAGTTTTTGAACACTTGACAGGTGCCAGGTATTCTGCTGGGCCAGGGGTAGGAGTTATGGAGAATCTGCAGAACTCTTGCTGTCAAGGGCCTCACACTCTGATGGAGGAGATCGTGGCAAAAGAAAATAACACGAGCCATGTTGCAAGTGTACGTCGTGTAAAGTGTACGTAGGATAAAGTGCACATCCTTTGTCCTATGAAGGAGATAAGGGTGCAGAGTGTTTTTGTTTGTTTGTTTTGTTTTTTTGAGGTACGCAGGCCTCTCACCGCTGTGGCCCCTCCCGCCGCGGAGCACAGGCTCCGGACACGCTGGCCCAGCGGCCACGGCCCACGGGCCCAGCCGCTCTGCGGCACGCGGGACCCTCCCGGACCGGGGCACGAACCCGCGTCCCCTGCATCGGCAGGCAGACTCTCGACCACTGCGCCACCAGGGAAGCCTGGGTGCAGAGTTTTTTGAAAATTAGGAGTAGCTCATGGAGAAGGCCATAAAAAGTCCAAGATATCATAGAGTCCAGCTTCCTAACTTTACAAGTAAGAAAAATGAGGTCCCCAAAGGTCACGATCTCTTAACTAGTTAGTGCCAAACCAGATCTCGAACCCAAAAGTTCCCTTTAAAGAGCTGTCAAAGATATGACCAAGTTCTACTGTTCTTACTGGCTTTCTCCAAACCACTCCAGCCACTGGGGGTTGAAGTATCAAGCAAATGTTGTTTGCTTTTTTTTTTTTTTTTTTTTTTGCTGTACACCGGCCTCTCACTGCTGTGGCCTCTCCCGTTGCAGAGCACAGGCTCCGGATGCGCAGGCTCAGCGGCCATGGCGCACAGGCTTAGTTGCTCCGCGGCATGTGGGATCTTCCCGGACTGGGACACAAACCCGCGTCCCCTGCATCAGCAGGCGGACTCTCAACCACTGCGCCACCAGGGAAGCCCTTGTCTGCTTTTTATAAGGGAGCAGCAAGGTCCATCTCCCTGCCTCCCATCTGGTCCCTTTCCACTCTCCTTCCCATATATCAGGTGGAATAACTTCCCCAAATGCAAATCTGATCATGCCACCCCTTTCCTTCCCACTACCCTTAGGCTAACAACCTGCGTCCATCCTAAGGCTCACTCCAAGTGCTCTGGTCCTGACCCTTGACTGCAGCCTCCTCTTCCACCACTATCTCCTTCCCTCTCCATGTTCCAGCCATGCTGTTCTTCCTCTGGTTCTTCAATCTTGCCATGCTTTCTCCCGCTTCCGGGGCTCAGCACGCACTGTTCCCTCTGCTTGGAACACTCTTCCTCCTTCTTCACCTAATGATTCATTTGGTTGAGATAAAATACCATTACCCTGACCTGTAGACTGGGTTAGTCCTTCCCTGCCCTCTGTATGCGCTCTGCCATTGCTCTGTATTGAATCACGGGTTGAACATCTGCCTTCTGCGCTAGACTCTAAGCCCCAAGAGTGTGGGAACATCTCAGTCATTCACTGATGCGTCCCCACGCCCTAGCACAGTAGGTAGATTCTTAGGTAGGCTAAGCTGCTGGAACAAATAACACTTCAAATCCTCAGTCTTTTACAAAACAAGAAGTTATTTTTTTCTTTTTCATGTGACAGTTCAGAGTCAGGGTTCCAGGTGGGTGGCAGTCCTACTCCATGCCACCATGTAGGGACACAGGCTGATGTGGCTTGTGGCTTCAAGATGTGGCTTGCAAAGTACTCCTGATAATTTCTGTGTTAATTGGCTGGAAACAGGAAAGGGCACAGGAAGAGGCTGCATAGAAGGCAACCACTTCGCTTCTGCTCCTTTTCCATTGGAGGGCATTTGGTCATACGGTCACAAAAGGCTACACAAAAGGCTAGGATATGTGGGGCCAGCCATTGCCAAGTATTGTACTTCTTTACCATGTGACAAGGGGAGAAAGGATTTTGAAAGACAGATGGCAGCTCCACCAGAACGCTCAGGGCAGATTTACTGAAAATAAATTAATTTTTAAATCATTATATTGCTCTACTTTAGATGCTGATATCAGTACCCAAACTCCCAGAATCATTATGTTTCTATCATTTTGTTGGCAGCATTTCAATATCCAAACAACTGGCTTTAATAAAAGGTAAGGCCTGGTGTGACAGAGATGTATGTGTTCCTTCTCTACCGTGAGAGCATGCCAAGAGTTAAAAATAATAGGACACCAAAGAATGCCAACGATGCAAGAGAACTTGCAGATAAATCATCAAGCATTTATGATGTTCTTTTTGTTCTTGTTTTTATTTTTTTATAAATTTATTTATTTGGGGCTGCATTGGGTCTTTGTTGCTGCACGCGGGCTTTCTCTAGTTGTGGCGAGCGGGGGCTACTCTTCCTTGTGGTGTGCAGGCGTCTCATTGCAGTGGCTTCTCTTTGTTGTGGAGCATGGGCTCTAGGCATGCGGGCTTCAATAGTTGTGGCTTGCGAGCTGTAGAGAGCAGGCTCACTACTTGTGGCACACAGGCTTTGTTGCTCCACGGCATGTGGGATCTTCCCAGACCAGGGCTCGAACCCATGTCCCTTGCATTGGCAGGCGGATTCTTAACCACTGCGCCATCAGGGAAGCCCCTGATGTTCTTTTTAAACATTTGGGAATTGAGGTCCAGTGATAGGAATTAGCTCACCCGAATCTAAAGGCCCAGCTATAATAGGAGCATGGATCCCTGACTCCTAATTCAGTGTTCATCCCACCATAGCCAGTTGGCCCTCCATGGGCAGGATCCTCAGTGTGTCCAAGTCAGCATCTGACTCGTAAACCTTCAGTGGTATTCAGGGTGCAATCAGTCCCCAACTGCCTCTGTTGATCGATCAAGACATAGTGTGGCAAACTCCCGAGGTGTACACATTTGCCGTCAGCATTCCATTTTATAGGTAGAATATTTTTAGAGCCAACAATGCTGTCATGGAAATAACAGTATAAGAAAAAATATACTCATATACTGGGATCATTATCTTATTCCAAAACATGTGGCTTCTTTATAGAGTAACAAGCACAGCTGGATTCTATTATATTGCAGTTAGTTTTCCTCCTAGCTGGCTGGTCTATGTCTCCAGAGGAGATGCTTTATATTTCTATTGAAATAAATCTTCATCTTGGTGAGAATATTATTGTTACACTATCACAACACAAGAGACCTATGATTTCTGTTTCACAATTTCAGGCACTTTTGATAATGTCAATGACAAAATATCATGTCCATGACATGATAAATATCCATGACATTTCTCATATAACAGCCTCCTCTGAGAGGCTGAGGGGGGAGTGTAACTCTCTATCATCCACACTGCCCACCAATACACAGACACACACACACACACACACACACACACATCATTCCTGGCACCAGACTCCTTACAGTAGACAACTGGGCCACATTTATTCCCATGCCTTAAGAAAACACAGGATAAATATGGCTCATCTTGCCAGAATGTATTGTATTCAATGGTAATTTTAAGTGTTATTCACTGAAATCAAGCAGGGCTAGATCATGGAATAGAAGTCAGTACCAACCCACATTTTCACTTCTGGCTGTTTGGGCTTATGCCCTTGATCTCTCGGGGGAGGTGGATAGAAATGGGTGTTGAGTACATATTTGCCTGTAGCATCCAAAGTAGTTTTATAGTGGAAAAGCTTGAAAAGTGCTAGAGTATTGGGGAAACTATCGATCTAGCGAGAAAACAGAAGAGATCTAATTTTTAGTTCTGCCATGTACGACTGACGCATACTGGGAAAAACCACGTTTCTCCTGTGGGTCTTCATTTCTTTGTTTGAAAAAATAACTAATATTAAGAAAAGTTCTAAAATGAGGTGATTCTGACACTTTGCTGTACTGAGGTTTGTGTTTCTACTACACTAAAGTGTTAGGAACTCACTAGATGAAATGTTTCACATTTTAGGTTCCACTTTCCAGGGCAAGTGAGGAGAAGGAGGCAGGGATTGTTCTCAAGTTCAAGTCAGCTCAGTTCAGCACATGTCTATGCTAAGGCATACAACGCGCCAGGGCCTGGGAATGAATGCAGTGATAAATAAGATGCAGTGACTGACCTCAGGGAACACACAGTCTAGAGCTGCACTGTTCAATATGGTAGCCACTAGCCACCTGTGGATATGGAACACTTAAAATGTGGTTAGTCTGAATCCAGTTGTGCTGTAAGTGTAAAATATATGACAGATTTAAGAGACTTAATAGGAAAAAGTGTAACATATCTGAGTAATTTGTTCATGTTGATGACATGCTGAAATGATATTTTGATAAATTGGGTTAAATAATATATTTCTAAAATAATTTTATCTGCGTCATTTTACTTTTTTAATGTGGCTACTTAGAAAAAATTTCATTATAATTCAGGCTCGTATTACATTTCTTTTGGACAGCACTGATCTAGAAGGTAACTGAGACAGATAAACAGTGTTTCAGTCTGAAGGTTATAACAAGCTTATGTTTAGGGAAGTAGAAAAGCACAAAGGAGGGGCAGGTAGCCCTATCCCAGGGTTTGGGAAAGAATCCTGCAGGATACACTGCCTGAAAAACAAGATCTAGAGGTAGCATGCATCACGGTGAGGAACCAGACTGACTGTGTGACCTTAAGCAAGCTACTTAACCTCTCTGTGCTTCAGTTTCCTCATCTATAAAGTGGAGATGATACTGGAACCCACCTCGGAGGACTGATGTAAGAATTAAATGAGTCAAATCACATACACCCCATAAAGAAGTGGCTGGCATACAGAGCGTGGGCTCCATAATCGCCCATCACAATGCAAGCTCCAGGAACCAAGGAGTTGTTCTCTTAATATTGCTCACTTAATATTGCTCTGTCCCCAGAACTAGGACAAGGCCCGGCAATAAGTACTTGCTGGGAGGACAGAGTGTGTAAGGAACTGCAGACAGTTTAGTATTATTAAAGCATAAAAAGTGAGGTAGGAGCTAGCAGGAAATGTAGACATGAAGTGCCTGGATTAACACCCCCCACCCCCATTCTAAAGGCAAGAGAGGCAATAAGAGACACCCAAAAAGAAACATCAATCCTTTGCATTTTTAATGGCACTTCGCTCTTTACAATATGCTTTCACATATTCGCCCACAACTCTGTGAGGCAGACAGGGCAGGAATTAGGAGGCAACACACTGAGTTTATTAAGGGAAGAACCCAACCATAAAAAGAGGAAACCAAAAAATGCCTCACAAAGTCTCATCAGTATTGGTAGGATAAGCGGAGTTCGTTTTTATCTTTTATTTTAAATTTTTTTCTAGTTCGGTTTTTACCACGAGCATATGTTATTTTATAGTCAGGGAAAATGCATGCTGTGTTAAAATGAATGGAGGAGAAGGAAGAGAAGTGGGCTAGTCCAGATGGAGTCCCCATTTAGAGAGCAGTCAGACCTGAACTTCATCAGAGGACTGGGAAACGTCTGGTTCCACAGCCTCCATGGAGATGCCCTTAGAAGGAGTTATTCCAAAGTGGCAGGTCTTTCTGTGGCCTTTGAAGGCAGACAGACTTTCGAATCTTTCCTCTGCCACCCGGGAGCAATGTGACCTTAAGATTCTTAATCTCTCCATGTGTCAGTTTCCAATACGTAAAATAGAGACACAAATAGTACCTACCCTTCTGGGTTTATGAAGCATTAAATAAGCTTATGTTTGAAAGGCATCTGGCACATAGTAAGCAAGAAAGGTGTCTAGGGCTTCCCTGGTGGCGCAGTGGTTGACAGTCCGCCTGCCGATGCAGGGGACACGGGTTCGTGCCCCGGTCTGGGAAGATCCCACATGCCGCGGAGCGGCTGGGCCCGTGAGCCATGGCCGCTGAGCCTGCGCGTCCGCAGCCTGTGCTCCGCAACGGGAGAGGCCGCGACAGTGAGAGGCCCGCGTACCGCAAAAAAAAAAAGAAAAAGAAAGGTGTCTATCATTACTTGCAAGCTCACTCACAGCTTGGAAGCTCACCCATTCCTTTCCAGAAGGGCACAGCCAGGGGAGGAAGAGGTTACTGTCCCCCATGAGAAGTCTCAGACCCAGCAAAACAACCCATACTAAAGCCCTGTCTAGTTATTCTGGGTTATGAATAAATAAATCAACTGGTAAAAGTTACAGAATGGACATTTACCTCCGAAGGAATTAAGGTGTTTCTTCTAAGCACTTTGCTTCTTAAAAACAAGACTATTTATAAACAGAGTTTATTCTTTAGCCACTTAAATGCCAAGTTACCGCCATACAGCTCCTCACCACCTCAACCCCACCTCCCAGGGAAGGGAGACATGAGCTAAAAGAAATATGCCATCTCCTTGTTTTTGATGAGCAGGAAAATCTTGGGTAATTGAGGAAAAAAATCCCAATTTTACTTTTTTAATTTATTTATTTTTGGCTGTGTTGGGTCTTCGTTGCTGTGCGCAGGCTTTCTCTAGTTGTGGTGAGCGGGGGCTACTCTTCATTGCGGTGTACGGGCTTCTCACTGCAGTGGCCTCTCCTATTGCGGAGCACGGGCTCTAGGTGCGAGGGCTTCAGTAGTTGTGGTGCATGGGCTTCAGTAGTTGTGGCACGCGGGCTCTAGAGCACAGGCTCAGTAGTTGTGGCACACGGGCTTCTCACTGCAGTGGCCTCTCCTATTGCGGAGCACGGGCTCTAGGCATGCGGGCTTCAGTAGTTGTGGCTTGCAGGCTCAGTAGTTGTGGCGCACGGGCTCAGTTGCTCCACAGCATGTGGGATTTTCCTGGACCAGGGCTCGAACTCGGGTCCCCTGCACTGGCAGGCGGACTTCCAACCACTGTGCCACCAGGGAAGCCAAAAAATCCCAATTTTAAATGTGGGTTTCAGGATGTGGCAGAAGTGAAGGGAAGAGGTGGATAAGGATAGGAGGGAAAAGAGCTAAAAATTGAATGCAAAGAAGCAGGGAACTTTCTGAGTCTGGGATAGTAGTCTAGATGGAGAGCCAGCCACTGGACTAGCAGACAGAAGCCACAGGTCAGGATGGGACTGAGGATCAGAAACCAAAGAGGAAATCAAGGAGTAGGAAGCTAAGGGCACAGATTCTGCAGACATTGATTCGACAGATTTGTGAAGCACCTCCTAGATCCTAGGCACTGTTCTAAGTGCTGAAGTTTCCACAGAAGAGAAGACAGGCAAAACATTCCTATCTTCTTAAGGCTTGTGTTTTCAACATGGATTCATATTCAAGCTCTGCCACTTATTAATGTGTCCTCAGCAAGATCCTATCCTTTCTTCATCTATACAATGGTATAATCATGGAGAGACATACAGTGTTCATGGGTTGGAAGAGTCAACATAGTAGATACCAGTTCTCCCCAAGTTGCTCTCTAAGTTTAATGAAAAACAACAACATTCAAGTTGTTTTAAAAAAAAACAGACAAACTTATTCTAAACTTTATGTGGGAAGGGGACTAAAATAGTCAAAACTGTAAACATCTCAAATGTCCTTTGGTGGTGAATGTGGTACATACATATCATGGAATACTATTCAATGAAAAGGAAAATACCATCACTACATGCAACAACTTGGATAAAATGCAAGGGAGGGGCTTCCCTGGTGGCAAAATAGTTAAGAATCCGCCTGCCAGTGCAGGGGACATGGGTTCGAGCCCTGGTCCAGGAAGATCCCACGTGCCGTGGAGCAACAAAGCCTGTGTGCCACAACTACTGAGCCTGTGTGGCCAAACTACTGAAGCCTGTGCGCCTAGAGCCCGTGCTCCACAGCAAGAGAAGCCACGACAGTGAGAAGCCTGCCCACTGCAACAAAGAGTAGCTCTGCTCGCTGCAACTAGAGAAAACCTGCTCGCAGCAACGGAGACCCAACGCAGTCAAAAATCAAATAAATAAATTTATTTTTTAAAAAAACGCAAGGGAATCACAACATTGTAAAGCAACTATACCCCAATAAAAAAATAAAAACAGGGAAAAAAAACCTCAAGGGAATGATGCTGAGTTTAAAAAGCCATTCTCAGAGAACTTCTGTATGATTCCATTCACAGAACATTTGTTGTTGCATAACATATGAAGATGGAGAACAGATTAGTGATTGCCAGGGGTTAGGGATGGGGGAGGGGGCAGGTAGAAAGATTGGCTGTAACTATAAAGGGTTACTATGAGAGAATCTTGTGCTGGAGGTACAGTTCTGTATACTGATTGTGGTGATAGTTACCCAAAGGTACACATTTGGTAACATTGCCTAGAACT